TTATTTTTATAACCAAATAATTAGTTTCTGCAGAAAAAAAGAAAACACCAAAACTAAGAAAAACTTGCAGGACAATTTAATAGCATAAGAAAAGAACACTTAATTAAAAAGAACTCAGGGAAGTCACATAACTTCCTTAATCATGTTCTGAACCTGCAAAACACCGATAATTTTCGGTTGCTGTTTTTAGGTGCCAGAGAGCTGGTTCTGACTCACAGTGATCCTATGTACAATAGAAATAATGCTTGGTCCTGGCTGATCTTTCCAGTAATTGCTATTTCTGAGCCCAATGGTGTAGCCAAGGAATAAACCAGTATCATTAAGTTTTCTTCTTTTCTGCTGAAACTCTTCTTTATCAAGCATGGTATCTTTCTCCTGAGATTGGGTCTTCCTGATAACATATCCAACGCTGTTAAAAACAAGTCTAAATATCATTTCCAATGGACATTCTGGTTGTAGTCCTTTCAAGAGAAATTTGTTTTTTCTTCTGGCAGACTAGACATTTTTTTCAGTATCTTCACTATCACCATAATTCCAATGCAGCAATTCTTCTTCGATCTTCCTTATTCACTGTTTAGCTTATGTATGTGTATGTGGAACAACTTTGTAATATTCTTTTAAGATCATAAAGATACATGAAATAGCAAAACAAAGGGACAAAAAAGTAAAGAATATTTAAGGTAAAAAAACTAGTGGATAATAATGAAGAAACAAACAAAAAAAGCTAAATAAATTTGTATGCACTCTTTCCTTAAGCAAAACTATGATTTGTAGGGCTGTGTTATTAGACGGCTGTCTCTTATGAAAAGAATGCAAAATAAAAAGAATTTATGGTGTATCTTTTATCAGCATTCTAATCAATAGGGGAAAACATGTAAACTGGGAGGTGATATAATCGTTTTGGAAAATCATTTCAATTAATAAGTTTCTTTCTTTTTTGGCCCAAATCCAGAGATCATAATCACTGTATGAATCATGTGAATGGACAGTCTTTAAGGGATGTGGTATGGGGGAGAAACAGGAACACAGAATAGAGCTTAGGATATAACAAGTGGTAACTCAAATGTCAACTACTTTCTTCAGAAAAATTACAACTGCATGGAGAGTTTCTACATGGAAATACAATAAACAAGAATACTAGGGCTAAAATAAAGTAAACCCAGTATAGGACAAGGTTCACATCTGTTGTTCATAGGGTTGCTATGAGTCCTACTTGACTCGACTGCATCTAACAGTGGCAGCAACACAAAGTTAAAATAAGCCAGTCTTTGAACTAAAATGAGACCGTTTCAACATTTATCTGCTAAGGTTAACTGACTAAAAACCAGACAAATGTTATAAGCAAAAATAGAAAACTACACAAAGTTTTGACTACAAATTTCTACCAAAACATTCTATACTTACATGTAAGTAGAAAGCTATGTTGTTATGTGCCGTCGAGTCGCCTGTGACTCATAGAGATCCTATGTACAACCACCCTAAACCCTGCTCTATCCCTTGCCAATCTTATTGTCTCTTATACACTTATCCTCATTACCCCAGTGACTGAATCAATCTATCTCATTGAGGGTCTTCCTCTCCTGTGTTGTCCTTCCACCCTCCCAAGGATGACATCCAAGGATCGATCCCACCTTGCACCATGTCCAAAGTATGTCAGATGAAGCTTTAGATTCCTTGGCTCCAAGGAGCAGCCTGGCTTCACCCCCTCCAGGAAGAACTTGTTTGTTCTCCTAGCAGTCCATGGTATATACACTTCTCCAGCACCAGAGCTGAAAAGCATCAATTCTCCTTCTATCATTCCTAGTCTTTGTCCAGCTTTCTGATGCATAGCAAGTAACCGCAAAGACCACAGCCTGTATCACGTGCACCTTAAGTCTCCAGACGTTCATCGCTGCTCTTCAGTACTTTGGAAAGGTCTCTGAGAACAGACTTTCCCAATGGAATTCATCTTTTAATTTCCTAGCTGCTGGTACCAAGAGTGATGACTGCAGAGCCAAGCAAACTGAAGTTGTCAACCGGTCCAGTGCTGAGAATCTTTGTTTTCTTGAGGTTGACCCTAAATCCATATTGAAGGCTGCAGTCTTTGACCTTCTGCAGCAAGTGTTCAGGTCCTCCTCAGTTTCAGTAAGCAGGGTTGTGTCATCTGCTTAACACAGACTGTTGTTGAGTCTACCTCCAATCCTGATGCTACACTTCTGCTCATAGAGCCCAGTCTCCCGGATAATCTGCTCTGCATATAGACTGAAAAGACATAGAGATAGGACACATCCTTGATGTACACCCCTTCCAATTTTGAACCATGCAGCGTTTCCTTGCTCTGTTCTGATGACTGCCTCTTGGTCCAAGTACAGATTTTGTATAAGCACAATCAAGTGTTTTGAGTCAAATGCCTTTTGCACAGTCAATGAAACACAGATAAGACTTTCCTCTAGTACTCTCTGCTTTCGGCCAAGATTCATCTGACATTAGCTATAATATTTCTAGTGCCACAGCCTCTTATAAATCTAGCCTGCACTTCAGGCAGTACTCTGTTGATATGCTGTTTCTGTCGTTTTTAGATAAGCTTCAGCAGAATCTTGCTTGCATGTGATATCAATGATACTGTTCAATAATGTTCACACTCTATCAGATCACCTTTGTTTGGAATGGGATCAAATATAAATCTCTTCAAGTCAATTGGCCAAATGGCTGTCCTCCAGATTTCTTGGCACAATTTGGTAAGCACATCCAGGGTAGCATCTGTTTGCTGAAATACGTCAATCGGTATGCCTTCAATTCCTGGGGCCTTGCTTTTTGCCAACTCTTTCAAAGCAGCTTAACGTCTTCCTTCATCACCACAGGCTCTTGCTCATATGTTGTTTCATGAAATTCTTCTGTGTCCACTGCTGACTCAAAAGTGATTTGTTTGAATCCTCCAGATTCTCTTTAGAAGATGGGCAAGCTCCTCCTATGCTATTTATTGTCCCTGAAAACCCACTCAGAGGTGAGCTATTAGTTGGTTCAATCTGACGGTACGTAACTACAATAATATCTTCCATTTGTAGCTAAGTAGAAATTAGTTACCAGAGCAACCAGCACTAGCATATCACCTCATATCCTCCATTCAAAACAGGTGAGCTCTTTTTGGAAAGCCCTATTCAATGGTTTCTTGTAAAATCTTAGGAAATGCAGGGAAATTCTGTAGACTATTAGGAGCTATTTGGCTAACTAGAGGAGAAATGTTTTTGAGCTCTCCACTGCTGACTGCCTGGAACAATGGTGAGTGACTGACAGCATTTAAAAGCAAACAAGTAAGAAAAACCTAATGATGAGCAGGATATACAAAGTACTTAAATATATTTATATAAACACACACACACACACACACACACAATTGTAAGAGATCACTCTTGGGCTTTTTGCTGTTTTTAGCTGCTATGGTACCAGATCTTTGGTTGGCAATGCCAACTGTTATTAGCCATGACAACTGGCTAAAAGCAGTCAATATATGTTCTAACTAATTAACAGAGAGATGGCACTAAACAAGAACCAAAGCAAAACTTCATTCACTTATAAATCATACCAAATTAGATAAATAATCAAAATACAGAAATGAGCAAGCATGAATAACAGATGTATTATGCAGCTTGGCCAAAACTGGCAACATATGTATTCTCTTCATAGCTCAAATCTCCTCATCCTTCAGAGATTTAATCAGGGCAAATAGAAAGCAAGTCACAAAAAGCAATGTAAAGAAGATCTATCATTCTCTGTTTTACAGTATACAATAATACTACCGCTAAAAGTCTCTCTTTTACACGAGACACAGAGAAGTACATAAAAAAATACAGTTAGCAGAAAATATATAAGCAGACAGACATAATAAACACATGTGGCTATGTTAAAAGGACTATACCTATTAGCACACAGTTCTGCAGATGGTATTTCTACTTCATGTCGCTGTTGTTGTTAAGTGCCATCAAGTTGCAGGTGACTCAAAGCGACCCTACAAAGGAGAGTCCTCGACACTTGGGTGCCTTTTATCCTCTCTTCAGGTTCATAGGGTTTCCGGAGGCGAGCTATTATGGGAGTGGATGCCACTCCTCCTTCCAAACTTCATGTTAGTATAGGCTATAAACACAGCCATTTATACATACATCACAGCTAACACTGGCAATGCTTTGTAAGCTTCTTAATCACAACTAAACGCCTTGAGGGTATGAAGTGCTAATGAGACAATAGTATTGGGGGAGGGCCCATCAAGGTCAACTGACGTAACATACTTCACAATATCCTACTTTGCTGTATAGTGCTGGAATTCTTAAAAGCTACCAGCACTGACTAATTAAAAAAGGATCATAGTAGAAGATCCTGGATATTGTGATGGAAAATATAGGAAAAAATGCAAAAACAGAACTCCAAAGTCTAGCTTACTTGTCAAATAATCTGGTGGAACCCCTGAGACCACAGTCCTTAATCACCCTTGGATCTGGAGCAAAAATTTATTTCCATGGCTCAATTTTCAGGAAAAAAGTTTAGACAGTCCTAAAAGGGGTCCAATACTACAAGACAGGCAGTCTCTCCTTAGAATAACCAACCATAACGGGAGTTCAAGCGACTAGCAGTAGCTCAAGAAATAGGCTCCAAAGGTAGGGTGGGCTGAGTTAGGATTAAAGGAATGAGAGTTATAACGAAGAGGTGAGAGGAGGGTAGTTACACTGTGAATACTGAAATTAATTTCATAAAGCAAAGTATGTATGAATAACCAATTTGCTTTGCAAACTTTCAAATAACAATCATAAACATAAAAGGTAAGCGAGTTTTCCTTCTTAATAGAAGGTCACAACCACTGAATAGGAGAGTTAAAAATTACTTAAATTATTAATAATAAAAATCAGTGATTGAAAAAATGTTTTATATAGTTGATAAAATTGAAATATAATTATATAATATACATTTTATAATATCAGAGGTTAAACCACATTTTAGAAAGTTATATTTAAAATGTTTAAAAATCCTACCACTTTGTTGACCATCTCCATATCACACAGACTGTCCACTAAAATTCGACATGCTTCTTCTTTACCCCAGTGAGCTGCAGCATGAAGAGGTGTCCAGCCATCATAATCTTTAATATTAACATCATATCCTGCCTGTATCAAGAGTCTGAAGAAATTATACTAAATTAGATAATAATAAGCAAACAGGATCAACAGCTTTATATCATGCAAGATAATAAAAACTGGCACTATATATATTATTGATTTTTTAAAAAATTTAAAACCTCCCTCCTTCAATGATTTAACTACGGTAAAAAGCAAGCAGTCACAGAAAATACCGGAAAGAGTAGCTTAAGTCACTGTTATAAATACATCTAGTTTGAATGAATTTAATTTCTACTGTCTATTGGTCTTAGTTCAATGATATTAATCCTTGTTACAGGATATGTAATTACAATTTTCAAAGAGAAAGCCTATCATTTCTCAATGTGGGACAAAAAACTACTGATTAAATTAGTATTAAAATGGATTTATTGTAAGGACCATCTTCAAATGACTATATGGATGATATATCACCTCAGGCTAAAAAAACATGCTGGAATCAAACAAGTTTATTTTGTAGTGCTTTTGTTGACATGCAATTGAAGCACTGGTTGGTGCACCTTTCTTGAACCTCTATGATCTCTCGGTCATGGGAAATTTTCAAAGGGAAATAATAATCTGAACTGCCAGAAGCAAAACAAAGAATCCTAGATTGTGCCCACTTTTCTGTAGCAGTAGAAAGCATATATTTTAATTATCAACAGAGCTTGAGAATAGGAATACCCTTTAATACAGTGCAAAGAGCTGCATAAATTATGTTAGTATGGCCTTTTTACTGAATACTGGCATCAATCTTTATTTAGAAAAATGAAGCTCATGAATAGTAAAGAATGGGTCTATAAATTGCACGCAGCAGAGCCATACACACACAGGCGAACACTAAATACTTTGTAATTTATGAAATCTGGTTGACTTTTACCTTACTTTCCAAGATGCTGAACTTGAAGAAGCCTTCTTTTTACCTACAGAAGGTGGCAGTAATAGCTAATGGATAACCTTTCATTTATTTATGTTTCAAGAACTGAACCTCAGTATCTAACAATATCTGTACCTAGCTCCACAACAAAATAATCTGAAGAGCTGGCTGAAAATATAGATTCCTCCATTCAACTTGAGTTCTACTGAATTAATGAGCATATCTGAAAACCACTGAAAAACTCACTGCCATAGAATCAACTGCAACTCAGAGCAACCCTGCATGGGGTTTCTGAGACTGTCACTCTGTGGGACGTTCGTTTTCTCCCCCAGAGCAGCTGGTGGGGCTGAACTGCTGACCTTACAGTTAGCAGCCTGACATATTAAACGCTATGGCACAAAAGCTTATACTAAAATAATCTGCACTTCGAGTAAGTCTTCCATATGATTCTTATATTGTCTGCTTTGCTATCTGTCTAGAGACTAACACTGAAAAGTTGCCAATCTAAATAAAGAAATGGCTAATAGAAAAAAGTTGAGAGACTTGTCAAGAGAGGCAGAAATAATACTGGATCATAATAAAAACTTACGAACTATAGTAATATGAAATATCCTACAAAGCACAAAATTTTAAGTATCTGGTTATATTATGTAGAGAGGAAAGACAAAATCAAGAAGGTAGCTACAGTTTTTTCAACATGTATTTGGCTCTCTGTATATGCCAGGTGCTACATGGATACTTACATAGCACCTATATTTAAAAAGTTTCTAATGGAAGACAAAACAACAACATTTAACCTTGACAACAGGTTTTGTGATACAGATGGGTAGGATAGGACTGGGGAGGGTGGGTTGCAGGGGAAGTGCACATAATGGAGAAGCATCAAAATAAAGCCGACAGAGTGTGTGTGTATAAATGTCTATCAGAGAGGAAGGGAAGAAAAGTTGTATTTGAGTCTAATCTTTTAAAATGTCTTTTTCATTTCATTCATGCATATTTTTCATAAAATAAGATTCAAAGGGAAAACTGGATATACAGAGAAGTCACTTTATAAAACAGCTAACTTTTAATCACTTGCACTTTCCTTCAGATAATCAGATTATTAGCTTTTTACTAGGTCTTTTGATAATATAAAAGCAATTATCTATCTATCTATCTATCTACAAATACATATTTATTTTCTAATACATATAAATGATACATTTTTGTTCTAGGTTTAACAGCAACAGATCCTCAGCACTCTTTCCACATCAATATAATATATTTCTAAGTCCTTTTAATTGTAGACTATTTAGTTACAGAGCATCTCAGTGAAAAGTTGTACTATTATTGTTTTTCAAGCATTCTCATACTTATGTGTAACGCTGCTTGTATATACTTTCTCATGAGTGAGAATATCTGTAAAAAAGAATTCCTAGAGGTAGAACTGCAAAATCAAAGAGAAACTATTACAGTGAAAGAATTTGTTCAATTGTATTTTAGAATTCCACTAGTCATATAAGAATACCTTCCCCCACTCCCTTGCCAAATGTTTTGATCTTTGCCAATATGAAAGACGAAAAACTGTTGAACATTTTAGCTTTTTTTGCAATTACGAATGGAGCTGAATATTTTTTTCATATGGATAAGAGCTGTGAACTAAGTCAAGAGATCAAAAGAAGTGTGCCAGTTGATGAGATGATGGAGAACAGGCATCTAGACAGAGAGAAGAATATGCATTAAGACATCATGACAGACCTTCCAAAGTAACTAGTACAGGTGAAATAATGTGCACTTGAAGAGCAATGGCGGTAACTTAGCTTAAAGGAGACAACAGAGACCCGTTGACCAAGTGTCTTACACGATTAGCTAAGGAGCTGAAATGGATTCTAAAGTTCTCCTAGAACTTTAATAAAAGATTTTAAGAAACAGTCTAATCATAATGATAATCTGGAAGTATTTAAAAAGCCAATCTTATCATAAAATCTAGTACTAACATATATGGCTATAAACAAATTTTCATGAATAATAATTATGTTTATTAGATGCAATAACTAGTAGTATATGCAATAAAAGAATATTTCCTGCTCACAGTTTGTCAAATGGTAGCAGCTGCTCACAAACAACTAATAAGATATGAAAAGTCTGAAATGTTTGGATGAGAGTAGGAAACAGATACAAGAAAAAAGAAGCTATTTAAAAAGCAAATGTCCTATTCCAAGAGAAAATTTAAGTTACTGAAGTGAATGCGTGGAGAGCTAGAAAAGACGATGAAATCCGGGGCTAGGTGACACTGTTAAATATTCACTGCTATTAGAAAATCAAACAAAAGCAATAGAAAAGTGGAGTAGATTTTGATAAACGTTTTTGTGCAGAAATATTTTTTTGCCTGCAAACATAGGCACCTCTATACGGCATGCGTAAAAATATTTAATGTAAAAAAAAAAAAAAAAACAACCCAACAAAAAACCCCGTGATTAGTGTATGTCATTAAATAGTTTAAGGTGTTATGGCTTGATGTTTAATATTATACTAGTAAAAATATAGGTTTCTCCGTAGCAAAAATAGTTGTAGTCATCTAAACTAAAGACTGATGAATCCGAACCACCCTGATGTCCCATGGAATAAAGACCTAGGAGTAAGCTTTGCCATAAAACCAGCATGCAAGAAAATCCTCTGGGGCAGTTCCACACTGTAACAAATGGAGTCACTCTGAGTCAGAATGAATTTGATAACTACAAGCTTGGTTCTTAACAGCATTCTGAAATCTCATGTCCATGTGGTAAAAATAAAGACCATTTTAGTTAAATTATACATAAACAAAAGAAATTTTAGTTCAAGCTCCAGTATCTATTGATACTTTTATGTCATATACAAATACAGAACATTGTTTTCACTGTTAGGAAAAATAGTCAAACTGGGAAACTTAATTAGCTCAAATTGTACCTTATAATGGTTGACTGGCATTTATCCCAGAAAAATATTACTAAATAACTCTTTTATAAGGTGTTTCATAATGTTCGAAACAGTCTCAAGAAAAGGTAGATTAAAAAAAAAATAATAAAATGAAAGTAGAAAAATGACTGTGTAATAAGAATACTTACTTTAAAACTTCTGTATATCCTTTAGCAGCTGCTACGTGAAGTGCTGTCCCTCCAGACTTGCCATGTGGGACATCATTTATGTGACCACTATTTAACCACTGCCGTGCATCTCTCAGCATTATCCGTTCTTCTTCCTTTCGAGCAGCTTCTATATCAACCCCTGAGAAAACAAGACACTTACTTGTCTTCATAGAAAATCTGAAATTCTGAAACATTTCAAACTGGTTTGAATAAAGGATGTATAATATTGTAGATCTTTCATTATTTACTAGCCTCTTCTAACAATTTTTTTATCCAATAATATTAATATTTTTCTTTTTTGATAATTCTTTTGATCTCTTAAAAAAATTTAAAGCATTACCTAAAGGATAAATCTGAAATGTAAAATTGATGAAAGAAACAGGGTCATCTAGTTCCTATCTTTTAATAGCTTAACACCTTGCAGAAGCGAAGATTAAAAAAGAAATCATATTAGAGTTCTGAGTAATTACATACTATCTATGGTTTCAATTTCTCATTACCAAATAAAATGCACAGATCGCATGTGTTTATGCATCTGAAAGTTGGACAACAAATAAGGACGATAGAAGAAGAAAAATCAATGTCTTTGAGTTGGTGTTTAAAAAGCATACTGAATATGTCATGCACTGCTAAAGGGAAAAGCTATGTCCTGGAGGAAGGGATGTTCCTTAGAGACAAAGATGGTGAAACTTTGTCTCATATACACGTCATTAGAAGAAGCTAGTTCTTGGAAAAAGACCAACAATATGCTTTTAAAGGTGAGGGTCAGTGAAAGGCAGGAAGATGTTCAACAAGATGGAATGGCATAGTTAACAACTGTTAACAATGGCTCAAGTAGTTCAGAAATGAGTACGGCATCGTATATAGCAAAGTTAAGAACCATTAATCATAGGATCACTTTGCGTTGTAGTCAACTAAATGGTATTTAACAATATATGCAAATATAATCTATTTTCCCCCAGGAGACAATATGTTTATTAATGGATGTTATCTTTTACTCTTGTATGCCAAATGACTGGAGGCATACTCAAAGTAAAACCAGTAAGTGTTCACTAAATAAATACCAAATTATATATATAATAGGTCTGTCTTGGAGAGGGTGAAATCAAATTTCTCCTTGGAGACAAGGATTTTGAAGCACATCTGCTAAGTAGATTTTTCTATTAACTTTCCCACATATTCAGTTAGTATGTAAAGTGAACCCTATGTGTGACATATTTAATTAAAAGGAGGTATGGATATAGAATATAAAGGGTCTCTTCCCTGGAGGACATTATGCTGAGTGAAATATATCAGTCACAAAAGGACAAATACTGCATGGTGCCACTGTTGTAGAATGGGAACTGCTAAGAGAAAAAACAAGTTCATCCTGGAGAGGGTGAAGCCAGGCTGCTCCTTGGACACAAAGATTCCAAAGCTTTGTTTGACAAACTTTGGACATGTTGCAAGGAGGGACCAGTCCTTGGAGAAGAACATCATGCTTGGGAGGGTGGAGGGACAGTAGAGGAGAGGAAGATCCTCTTTGAGGTGGATTGATTAAGTCATTGGGGTTATGGGAGTAGGTGTGTCAGAGACAGTGAGATTGGCACAGGACAGAGCAGGGCTTAGGGCTGTTGTACATAGGGTCACTATGAGTCGCAGGCGACTCACCAACACATCACCACCACCACCACCTTTTGGTTAGTAGCCCAACTTACAATGTATTAGGTCACCAAGTTTCCTTTTCATAGAAAATTGAAAAGGTAAACAGAAGGTAATCAGCCAACCTCATTTAAGATGTCTCAATATTATTTATGAAGGAAGTATTAAAACGCTTTATTAACTTCACTACCTTAACAAATATCTGCTAAATGATTTGTCACAAATGAAACTATTTTCTTCTACAAAGCCTCCATTATATTACTGTTGTTTTAATTTTGCTATCTTAAACTGTCACAATTTAAAATGGGTTTTTTTTTAATTTGAAAAATAAAAACACACAAAAAACCCAACAACAAAAACTCATCAAAAAGAACAACAACAAAATCCACTTCTAGATTTATCCTATTTTGTGTTTGGTGGTGCAGTGGTTAAAACATTCACCTACTAATGGAGAGGTCCATGTGCTCTGAACCCATGAGCCACTCTGTGAGCAAAGGGCAGGGCAGTCAACTCTGTTAAGGGTTTCTTAGCCTTGGAAACTATGGAATAGTTCTACTCGGTCCTACACAATTACTATGAGAATTGACCTGCTGCAAGTAGTATTTTGGTTTTATCTAATTAAAAAGCAACCCTCTTCTGCTCCGAAACTATACTCAACATAAATTTACTTTAAAAAAAAATTTAAAGTTCAAGTGTAAAATTTCCACGTTCTTGTTCTTATTAGATGCCAGCCATCAAGTCAAGCAGGACCCACTGTAATTCTATGAACAAGAGATCTAAACCCAGTCCTAATCTATGCCATGCTGACACTTCCTGACACACCAGAGTCCACTCTGGCACTCATTAAGTCACTCCACCTGGTCCAGGGCCGTCCTCTCCTTCACCAACCCTCTACCTTTCCAACCATCATGTCCCTCTCCAAGGAACAGCCCGTCCTAGCAACATGCCCAACATATGTGAGGCGAAGCCTCATTATCTTTGCCTCCAAAGAGCAATCCAGCTGCATCCCTAAGACATTATTTGTTCTTTTGTTATTCCATGAGGATGTCCAGTGTTCTTCAACACCACAGCATAAAAACATCAATTTTTCTTTTGTCATACTTATTTACTGTCCAGCTCTCAGATCTATATAACAAGTGATTAGAAACACCATGGTCTGAATCAAATGCATCGTAGTCCTCAAAGTGACATCATCAATCCTCAATAATTTGGAGAGGTCACTAACTACAGACCTTCTCAGTGCAATATGTTTTCTGATTTCCTGTTGGTACCAAGGGTGTTAACTGTGGATCCAAGTAAGGTGAAGTTGTTGACAGTTTCTATTGTTTCTCCATCATAATGTTGCCTATTGGACCAGTGGTAAGAATCTGTTTTCGTGACACTAAGATGCAATTCATATCAAAGGCTGTATTTTTTTTATCTTCTGCAACAAGTGCTTCAAATCTTCCTCACTTTCAGCAAGGAAGGTTGTGTTATCTATGTAACACAGGTTATTGATGAGTCTTCCTCAGACCTGATGTCACATTCCTCCTCATAGAGTTCAGCTTCTCGAATAATTTGCTCTGCATGCAGATTACATAGATATGGAGAAAGAATACAACCCCGACACATTCTCTTCTTAATTCTAAACCACGTAGTGGTTCCCTTGCTCTGTTTGCAAAACAGCCTTCTGGCTTAAGTAGTTTTGAATGAGCACAATTAAGTGCTCTGGGATTCCCATTCTTCTTAATGTAGCCATAACTTGCTATTATCTGCAAAGTCAAATGACTGCGTAATCAATAAATCACAGAAAGACAATTCTTCTGGTATGCTTTACTTTCAGCCAGGATCTATTCTGACATCAGCAGTGTTACCTCTGATGAGATGACGTTCTTCTAAATCATACCCTACCTATGTACTGTTCTGGCTGTTTTTGAATGATCTTCAGCAGTATTTTGCTCGCATATGATATTAACGATATTATTCAATAGTTTCCACATTCTGTTTGATAACCTTTCTGGGAATGGGAAAAAATAGTGGACCTCTTCTAATCTGTTGGCCAGACAGCTGTTCTCCAAATTTCCTGACATAGACTGGTCAGCACATCCAGGAATGCATTTGTTGAATGAAACAAGTCAATTAGTATCTCACTGATTTCTTAGGCCTTATCTTTTGCCAATGCCTTCAAAGCACCTTCCACTTTCTCCTTCATTACCACTGGCTCCTGCTCATATGGTACTTACTGAAATTTTTCAGTGTCACTCAGTTATTTTTGGTAGAATGATTCTGTAAATTCCCTCCATCTTCTTTTGATGTTTTCTGGGTCATTCAATATATTGCCCACGACATCTTTCCATATTGTGATCTGAGGCTTAAATTTGTTTTTTCTGTTCTCTCAGACTGACTGTTGTGTCATCTGCAAATGCAGATGACACAACCCTGCTTGCTAAAACTGAGGAGGCCCTGAAATGCTTGCTGCAGAGGGTCAAGGACTGCAGCCTTCAGTATGGATTGAAGCTCAATGTCAAAAAGACAAATATTCTCACCACTGAGCGAACTGGCAGCATCATGAGGGATGTTGAAGATATTAAGACTAGTTTACTTGGCTCCACAGTCAACACTCTTGGCACCAGTAGCCAGGAAATAAAAAAACGTATTGCGATGGGAAAGTCTGCTGTTAGGGACCTCTCTAAAGTACTCAAGAGCAACGGTGTCTCTCTGGAGACTAAGGTGCGCCTGATACAGGCCATGGTCTTTGCAATCACTTGTTATGCATCAGAGAGTTGGACAATGACTAGGAAGGATAGAAGGAGAATTGATGTCTCTGAGCTATGGTGCTGGAGAAGAGTATTGAAGGTACCATGGACTGCCAAGAAAACAGGTTCATCCTGGAGAGGGTTAAACCAGGCTGCTCCTTGGCGGCAAGGATTCTGAGGCTTCGTCTGACATACTCTGGACATGTAAAGAGGGACAGGTCCTTGAAGAGGGACATCATGCTTGGGAGGGTGGAGGGACGGCACAGGAGGGGAAGGCCCTCTATGAGGCGGGCTGATTCAGTGACTGGGGTAATCGGGATGAGTGTATCAGAGGCAGTGCAACTGGCAAAGGATAGAGCAGGGTTTAGGGCTGTTGCTATGAGTCACAAGCGACTAGACAGCACATAACAACAACAACAGACTGACTATATCAGTGGAAGGAATCATTGGAGAAGCTCACTATTAGCAGTCAAAACTATGCCAGTGGCTGACTCTGGGTCAGACCATTAATTACTCATGTGCAAGTTCAAACTGAGGCTGAAGAAAATGAAAGCAACTCCATGAGAACCAAATATAGTCTTGAATCTATTCCAGCTGAATTTTAAAATCATATTAAAAATAGGTTTGAAGCAATAAACACCAATGACTGAAGACCAGAAGAGTTGTGGGATGATATAAAGGGTATATCAGTCATGAAGAAAGCATAAGGTCACTAACGAGGAGAGGAGAAAAAAACCCCAAAATGGAAATACCACCAGTGTGT